CTCTGCTGCTGCCGTGTGGTGCGGTGCGCGCTGCCGGGCGGTGGCCCATAACAGGTGCGTGTTGCACGCTGCCAGGCGGTGCGTGCGGCTGGGCGGCCCGCTGTGCGTGCTATTGCCTTATGATTGCGCCGCAGTGTGCTTCCGGCTGGCATGCCCATAACAACTAACCRAACTATGGGGTATTTTTTCAAATCAAACCGACCTGATTGGTTTTTTAAATATCAAAACCAAAACTGAACCGATGCAACCGGTTGGACTGGTTAACCGCAGTTCAGTTTTTTATGCAGTTAAAATATAAAAATACCTAAAACTATCGGTGGTTGCTGTCGGTGCCGGACTAGTTGGTACCGATGGTTGCTATTGGCTGTCACCTGAAGTGAGAGCTTGAGAGGTGGCACTTGGCGGAGCCGCAGAGAGGAGAGAGGAGAGATGAGAGAGAGAGAAAAGAGAGATATAGAGATGGTGTTGGTGCTTGCTTGTCGGCAAGGCAGCGATTGGCGTTGCCGCTTGGTGCTAGTGGTTGGCGTGGGCCGCGCGGCGGAGATGACAGGCGAGAAGAGAGAGATAATCACTCAGACACTCATAGAGAATAGAGAGACAAGACACTGGGGGAGAGCCGGAGAGGTCATCGGTTGAAGGACAACCAGCGCCAAAGGAAAGCAAAGGGAACTGCAGCGYTGACTGCCGAACTGGTCACTTGGGATTGGGGTCTGGTTGTTTGGGGAATATGAAGAGTTGAAGACTAAGAGTAAGAGAGACTGAGAGAGTGAGAAACAGAGAACGGAGAGAAGGTTTAGGTTTCGAACTACGAAGAGACAAAAGAGAAAGGCTAAAAGTTTTTGATTTTTGAAGAGAYTGAGAGACTGGTAGTCTGGCACTTTGGCAGTGTTCGATTTTCAATTGAAATAAAATATAATATATTTCAATTTTCAATTGAAAGGTTTGAAGAGAAAGGCTTGAAGTCTTAGATTGCCGAACTTTTTTATTCAATTTAAAAAATATATATATATAATATTATATAAATATATTACTGTATTTATTGATCGGTTCGGTTAATTATCAATTTTTTAAATGGTTGAAAGAAATATAACCGAAACTATTGGTTTTTTAAGAATATCAAACTTTAATCGATTTTTCAATTCGGTTTCGATCAATTCGATTTTCGATTTTTTTTCTCACCCCTATCCGGTGGTACAATAATGTGACATTAACATGGCATCAAGCAGTGCAATGATGTGGCATAAATATAACATCTTSAATTTTGGATAATATGACCAATGCTGAAATTAATTTTACAGCACTATAGCAAACAAAAACATTGCTGTTTTCTCGGAAAACAACCTATGTACCAGCAGCACCGCTTAAACAAAAAAATAAGCGGCATGTTGACCAGCACTCATGAGAAAACGGTGCTGTGTTGAAAGTAAAGTGGCACATTGACCATGGACGCCCTAACGTGAGACTACCCCGCATAACAATTTACAAGGGACCTACATGCAATTCATGAGTTTCTCTTCAACTTTAATACACTTGCGTCCTGCGTCCTACTAAACTCGAACAGTCGGAGTGAAGCTATCATGGTTGTCATTTTTTTTCCTGATCCAAAGCGAGTTTTCTTCGTATTCACAAAACAATCTCTTACGCATATAAATTCGAAGGATGGCGGAGGATTTTTCAGTAAATTAACATATCTATCACTGTAATTCCTTTTTGTCTTCTCGTTATGAATACGATCCAAAGTTGATCACACGCTTCTGATCGAAGGTGGGAGTGCGACTTCGTAAGGGGAATTAGTTATTAGTGGAAGGGACTAAGGGGAGAGAGAGTGTGAGAGAGCAGGGGTTATGGTGGTAGAAACTCTGATAAAATTGGCGAAGCTTCCTTTTTCATTTGACAAATACATGCACAGAAAAGGAGAGATGCAGAAGAGTTAGTGTAGTGCTGAAGGGATAATCGGCTAAATTTTGGGACCTTAAATCTGGCAACCTTTGGAGGATTGAGAGCAAGGTCCTCCCTCAAGCAAGCCCTAACGGAAGACGACGAGGAGGAGTGCAGGCCTTGGCGCCGAAGGCTATCAATGGCGGTCACTTGGGCCTCCGTCTTCAGGATCGCCCTTCTCCTCCTCCTCTTGGCTGCCATTATCACCGCTTGCTTTACTCTTCGTATTGAGAAGGTTCATCCATTTCTTTTTCATCTCAATTGGATTTCTTTTATTCCATTCTTTTTCTTCTGTTAATTCTGCATTACATCCTTCTATTTGGCGGTTTTCTTGGAAGCTTTGTGAACTTATTTTTTTTTAAATTTTCTTTTCGGGAGCTGAATTTCATTACTAATATGTCTAATTTTGTGTTTTTTGGGGGTTTAATTGATCGCTTAATAATTGTATTTCGTCATGGTAGTGGTACTTCAATGTTGATATGTTTGATTCTGTGAAATTAGAGGATTCCATTAACACATGAATATTGATATTGTATAATATCGATTGCGTCATTACTGCTTCCATTTATTTATTTGACTTCCATTATTATCGGGCATTTGAAATTTTGTGTTACCTTTTTTAGTCGTTTTTTTGAATGAAATTTGGGAATACTGATATCATTATATTATATTGCTAGCCGGGGCCATGTGACACGGGAATACTGATATCCAATATGATGAGCGAAGGGATTAAAAAGAAATGTAAACATTGTATCATTGCCCTGGAAAAAAAGTATTTTACCCAATAGTTAAATAGATCATTGATTAATCTAAGATAATTAATTAATTAGTTTACTATTAATAGAAACAGAATCTATATATTTACTAACAATTAGTTTAGGATAATATATTTACTAAAAAAGTAGGGCAGGCCTTTATTAACATCAATGTTTTTTTAATCTCCAATCACTACTAATCTAAACTAAATCAATATATGAACTAACTACGTATAGATATAATTAATCTAAGTGTTTTTTAATTCAATATAAACCACATTAGCATAGCTAATTAGGCTACATTAATTAAATTGACCTATCTAATCTAGTGGGGGGCCTATGATGCATAGACTTTTTTAAACAAAATCCAAGTCGAAGGACCTATCTTAGAAAAGAAAATTTCTCCATTTTTATACCACAATAGGATGAAACAGAAAAAAGAGGAAAAAAGATCTAAAATGTAGAAGATAATGATGAAGAATTTAAACCATTTTCTTTTTACCACTACCTTTGTTATAGTGTGCGCTTGATTTCATAATATTTCTGCAGTTTGGGTATTTTCAGTTTCTAGTAAATTGAAGCCTATTTTGAGGTGAAATTTAAAAATATTCATTTGGGCTTGCTAAGTGAATCATAATAACATTAGCAAGTCCATTCACTTGGCCAAGTGAATCATGATAAGTTAATAACACAATAGTTAGGCAGATAAAAATTGATTGCAACCTGGGTGACTTGGGTATGTACAGTAAGAATCATGATAAGTTAATAACACAATAGGAACAATCTAGATTGCAAACTGTGATTCTGAAATAGATGGGCTTTCTCTACCCACAGTCTGGTTCTGACTAGGGTATGTACAGTAAGAATTGATCTTTTTATATATTCCAGGATAAGAATTGATTTTTTTTTTTTTTAAGATCCATTGTCACCCATTGCAACCTGGGTGACTTGGGTTCAAATCTTGGGAACAGCCTCTCTGTATGTGCAGGGGTAAGGCTGCATACATCTGTCCTCCCCAGACCCCACATTAGCAGGAGCCTCATGCACATGCACTGGGCTGCCCTTTTTTTATATTCAGGGGTAAGAATTGATCCGATAAGAATTAATCAAAATTCTAGCACTGGATGCTACTGTCATCATCTCATCCCTTATAAGGACATAGAAGAGTATGCAATGGTCATGCCAAAAAAGAGTGGTGTGGTTAAGGAAATAGGTTAATCCCCTGCACCATGGTCTTATCTTGAGTCAATGTCATCTCGTGAAGTTGTCACCGTCTTTTTGGCCTCCTATCCATTGTTTTATCATTTATTTAACTTTTTTTGATCAGCAATCATTTATTTAACTTATTGCTCACTACCTCCAACATTATCTTCTTAGGATTGATAACCTGTGCAATTTCTTTCATCAGTATCTTATAACTCAAACCTTACTATTTGTTTATTTATTTTGCTTCTCTGACTTGGACAACTATTAGCGCATAAGCTTTTAGTTGTTTGATTATGAGAAATGGATTTATTTTGCATGATAATGCTTATTGCCATCAGTACATTATCATATTCCAAATATTTTGATGTTTTAGAAATTGTTACTAAATTCTATTTATTGTATTGTATACTTGTTCACCTCCCTTCTTGTCTATCATTATGTCCTAAATTAAATTGTTCTTTCCAGATCTTGAAGGATTTTTTATTTTGGATCGAGCACAATCTAGGGCCTTGGGGTCCACTTGTTTTGTAAGTCTGTTCCTTAGATGTTTATTTGCATTGGTTTTTACCTACCTTGTTAGTACTGAATTTTCATCATACGCCGACAAGTTTTGTGCAGTTTAAATGTGGCATTTATTTAGCACTATAAATCATTAAATTGAAGGAACTCTTCCATATCTACATACATTCCATGCATGTATAGATCTAGCAGTATCATATCAGAAATCCTGTTAATGATACTACTACACATGGTCATTAATAAACTGGTAATTAAAATTTTAAATTCCACTGATCATTTTTTAATAAAATGTTTCAACTTCCACTGATCATTTTCTTTCAACTTTTTGCCTTTAGTTTGTTGCTTTTAAATTGACATTTTGTTGAAATTTGTGCAGGGCTGTTGCTTACATTCCTCTGACAGTATTGGCAGTTCCAGCTTCAGTTCTAACTGTAAGCATTAATCACCTACTGTTGATTTATGAATCTAATAATTTGTTTGAAGTAGAAAGTGCATTGAACTTTTCAAAACATAAATCCCTTTGCAGCTTTGCAAGATATAAATGTCTTTTTCAAAATTCAAAATACACAAGAGGATTATTGGTTTGTTTGTTTAGCAAATGATGTCTAGTTGTGTTAGAAGTTGAAAACTAGACTTTTTGTCCCACATCAGTAGGAGCCTAGGATGAGAAAGGGGACAACAAGAACTCAACTATAAATGCATATTTGAGACACTTCCAATCACGTTTTTCTCAGTGATTTAAAAGGCACACCTCAAGCATGCCTAGGCGCATAGGCGAGGTGCATTTTAGGGTAGGCACCTCGCCTAGGTCCCAGGCGCAGCACTTTCAAAAGGCACACGCCTGGTGCGCCTGATGCGTTTGCTCACTGAAGCTCCGAGAACCCCCTATTTGCTAATGTTGTTCATTCATTCATTGTAATAAAATATCTTCTTAAAAGGCAATTAAAATTATAAAATTATTATTTTTTGTGTGAGAATTAAGAATATAAGACCCTAACATGGACTTGTTTGGGCTTGCCTCGAGGGGCATGGCACAAAGGTGACTTGTAGAATCAGGAATGTAATATGTTTTACATCACATTAGCTACTTGAAGTAATGCAATTGAGGAAAAAGAGATTGTGGGCTTTACATGCTTGAAAAATGTTTTATATGTTTAATTTTATTTTTAAATTTTCATTTGAATATGCTTTACATGTTATGTTTATGTATTTTAATTTTAGATAATAGGTTTTTTAAAACATTAATTTTAAAATTTAGGCTTATATTTCTTATTAATATTTTTGATTTTTTTTTGCATTTTTTGGAAATTTGACTTTTTTATTTTTTAGAAATTTTTTGTATTTTTGCCTCTTGCTTCAAAAAGRCGTGCACCTTGCCTTGTGCCTTGGGCACAATTTGGCCCTTGCGCCTTGTGCTTTTAAAACATTGTTTCTTCTCAGCTTTTTGGCTAGGTCTGGAATCAAGCCCTGCTCGGGCCAGGCCTAGGCTAGTTTAAAGCCCTTGACAGTTGATAAAGGTGCTAAGCCCAGCCCGGCCCAACCAATGATTTAAAAGGCGCGCCTAGGCACAGAGGCGAGGTGCATTTAGGGGTGTAAACGGATCGAATTCGAATCGGATAAGGTAATATCCGAATTCAAATCCGATTAGAAAATCCGATATCCGAATTCGATCCGACAGATATCGAAAACTAATATCCAAATTCGAATTAAATATTTGAATATTCGAATATTCTATTCGAATTTGATTAATTAATTATTTTAGATAATTAAAAAAATATATAAAATAAATATTTTTTTGATATGAAGTATATAAATATATAAATTATTTATATAACTTATTTATTATATAAATTATATAAAATATTTTTATATATTATATATAAAATATTTATTGAATTCGAATTCGGATATTTATTGAATCGAATCAGGTCATATCCGAATTTGAATCCGATTAACTATTCGGTATGAATAGGATATCCGAATTCGACCGATTAGATATTCGAATTATCTGAATTCCATTCGATTATGTTGAATATCGAATTCGAAATTGGATTTTCGAATACCGTTTACACCTCTAGGTGCATTTTAGGGTATGCTCCTCGCCTAGGTCCCAGGGTGAGTATTTTCAAAAGGCGCACGCCTCGTGCACCTTGCACTTCAGCCCAGGTGTGCACCTTTTGAAAATCTGTGCATTTTTTCAGTTTTTTTTTTGTGTGTGTGTTTTAAAAATATTTTTTATTAGGATATTTTTATAACTTTAAGTGTCTTCTAAAAATATCTTTTATTAGGATGAATCATAGTTGTCAAGGTGACGCCAAGGCGACAAGGCGCCCTTTGAGGCTCACCTTGCCTACTACTACTACTACTACTACTACTACTACTACTACTACTACTAGGTTTTTTCAAAGCATTTATTTTAAAACTTAAGTTTGTATTTTTAATTAATTATTTGTTTAATATTTTAATAGTTTGCATTTTTTTGGAGTTTTTTTGATTTTTTTTTTTTTTTGCATTTTTTGTGCCTTGTGCCTCAGGAGCAAAATGGCCCTTGCGCTTTTTTTGCGCCTTTTGCTTTTAATGCACTAGGCCCGATCCATGATCACCCCTAGATCAGATGTAGGAAATTGCTAGCAAATTCGCAGTCTTATCCCTTCACTCCCCATGTTGATTATCAATTTGAGTAATTCAATGGGGAGATGAGATTGAGTTTCAATGGTATCCCTATCCTGAAAGATTTATAATTTTTTTAAGACAGGAATTTTATGTGGTTTGGGCTATCAGATGCCTCATTAGCAAGGCAGATGCCACAATTGCAGAGGTGATGGCTTTTGTATTTGGCCTTAGGGCCTTAGTCCTGTTGACTAAATGGGATTCCTCAAGTGCCATCAGGAAATTTTGTAAACCTAACTGCTTCTAAAGTTCTGCAATGGGCTCACGTTTGTCTTCTCTGATGTCCATCATCCATATCATCTTTTGTTATGTTCCATACTATTAATACAATTCTTGTCATTGCTTTTCCAAAAATAAAATACAAAAAGTAAATAATGAGGTTGTTGTTTATAAATTTTGATCCCATTATTTGATTTTCTGTATGTTCATTTATTTGTATATTGGACCTTTAAATAGCCAACTGCCATGCTATACCTATCTTTATGTCCATTCATCATTGGCTTCCTATCTTTATGTTCTACAATTTCCTTCTGTGCTGGTGCCTTCTGACAAATGCATTTATTGAAGTTGATTTTTTTACCAAATTTTATTCATGAGTACAACCTAATGAAACCTTTTCTCAATATATACCAGCTTGGAGGTGGTTATCTTTTTGGGTTGCCCATTGGCTTTATTGCTGATTCCATTGGTGCTACCATAGGTGCAACAGCTGCTTTCCTTCTTGGTAGAACAGTGAGTTTCTAAAACTTGTTGATAGATTTAGGCTTAACAATCTATTAATATATGCATGTGCACTTACTTTTTCTTAAGAAGGTAAATTATCTGATTTCTATTAATGATATATCAGAAATACATGTATTATCAGCACCCATGTAGGGACCATTGCAGCATTGCTTAGTGCATTGGTAGAACCTGCACTGACAAGTTTGAAAATGTGGACTAAAGCCAAATGCTAGATCTATATCCAGTCTACACCCCTCCTAAGATYCCATATAGCACAGACCTTAATTGAGAAATGGCCCTTATCAGGAAGGCTCTGTACAATGGGGATCATGCAAAAAGCATGAGAAACAATGTTTGAGAAGATTGGTGTGCAATACATGTGTACCATGCACCCTAATGAATTGGTAGTGCTAGCCCCTTGTTGTATTCTACATACATAACTCCTTTGGGAAGCTTCTGTATCTATGTATCAATTTCTTTTATAAACAGAGAATCAAAATCAAAGGGGAGGAAAGGATGATTTCCCTGAACTCCTGCACAATCATCCAACACCTCATCATATCCATGGCTCTTCCTGCTACCACTTCTATATGACTGAGCTCGTGTTCAAATAACTAGAAGTTCACGTCATATGGTCCAAAGTACAGCAAATGAGCAAAATGCATCATAGGCCAGAGGACTTTTCCCCTCTTACTAACCTTCTGTATTCTCTGGAAAACAACATTGCAGTCTGAAAATCCCCCAGTAGATTTGACCAAAGTATGGCTGAAATTGGACAATGTAAGAATAGATGATTTACTGATTCTAGGGTGTTGGAGTGGAGAATACAATCTGTGTCGTTGAGCTCCTTCCCTTTCCCATTGAGATTGCCAATGGCTAAACATTTTTCAAGAGCTGCTGAATTTTATTATTGTTACATGTGCAGATGTCAACAAATATTTTTATTTCCTCACTTGAATAGTAATCATAGTTGAGTATTTTTCTGGCTTGCACAGAATCATCTTGCATTTGACAAACCATCTTGTTGCAGAATGGATGAAATGTATTTTGTTTTTCTTTCTTAATTGACCCTGAATTCATTTTAGTTGAAGAAGGTTTTCTCCTTTATGCATTATTTTGTTACTCTTTGCAGATTGGGAGGTCATATGTTATTTCTAAATTGAAGGATTATCCACAATTTCAAGCAGTTGCTATTGCAATTCAGAGATCTGGATTTAAGGTCTGAATATTACATATTTGCACTTACTAAATCTGATTCTTGTGCTGGTTGCATGTTTTCTTTGTACTTATGGTTACTTTCCTCAGTGTTGAAGGGGGTACACCCTAATCACTATTGACTAGTCAGGAAATAAATGTTTAAAAGACCAAAGCATGGCTATGTATTGATTTTTGTCATTGCAAACAATGTTTTTTATGTTTTTAATAAGGATGCGCCTAACTCAGTGTCTATTTAATAATGGTAATGTATGTATATGCATTTCTAAATTATTCTGATCAAGAATGAGAAAACTTATTTAGATATAAACAAGGGAGAATACAGTTGTCAAGACTTTCACAAGGAAAGACATACAGGACCAATTTGAGAATACAAGAAAAGACAAACAAAAATGGTTAAGGTGGATATGTCAGTGACAAAGGGGATAGGCCAACATTCCAAATTCAAGTCAGTTGCTGCAACTTCAACAATTGCCTACACATATTAAACTGATTAGAGCATATACTACAGTTCATTGCTTGGGCCTTTTGTGCATCCCTTGTGTACATCCTTCACTCTTTTGAATACAAGTTACCTTTCTCAAAAAAAAAAAAAAAAACAATTGTCTACACATAAATGGAGGAAGAGGAAAGAAAGCAGAGTGATTTTATGAAATAGAAAAAAGTTAGGAGGATACGTTTTTCAATGCCCAGCTCTAATCCAAGGTTAATCCAAAGGGGAGAACATTTTGGCTGCCCATTTTTGACGGCCTGGGCTGTCCACAGGCTCTCTCTATGACATAACTTTACTATCATATGGAGTCTATGTGGACTAAGGTGTCAACTGGGAGTGGAGAGCCCTCTGGACAGCCCAAATTGTTAAACATGGACAGCCTAAATTTTCTCATCCAAAGGGATCATGGAGTTTCTCCACCATAAGAGGAATTCATTCCTTGCATAGAACTCAAAAAACCGTGACCAAACCTTTTGCTCCCCCTCCCAAAACCAGTGTTTAGGAAACCGGGCTGGACCATCCGATCAGACCGTTTGAACTGTGACCGGGTCCCTGGCTGGTCCTCTCATGCCTCAATAACCATATTTACTAACAACCTGGTGAAAACCGGCTGATCGGTCAGTTTAACTGTAAAACCGATGAACCAGTCCCAGTTTCATGAAATCACCTGGGTCCCTAAATAATTGAAAATTTAAAACGTGTTTAATAAGACTTGAACCCATGACCTCTTATTTTATATTGTTTAATTACCACTAGTCCACCACTTATGTTAATTAATGACTCTTTGTTGTATATATTACTTTATTATGCACATATTTTAAAGAAAATGTAAATCAAGAGACTTGAACCCTGGTCATTTGCTTGAAAAATTAAGGAACTTGCCATCCATCCACCATATAAGTATATAAGTATATATACGTATATGTGATGTCATCACGGTTTGACTTCCGGTTTGACCCCAGTTGAACCTCTGACCTGTGAACTTTCCCTTCTCCGGTTCTATGCCCAGTCTAGTTCTCTGAACATTGCCCAAAATCCTTTTCCAACCCCAAAGAAAATCACTACCAAAAGGTAAAGGCCAGTGGTGTGGGGATGGACATTGGTCATGTACTTGATAGGAATTTGGAAATTGGCTGGGTTTGTACTAATTGAATGGACTTRTGGATATGTGATAGTTGACGGGCCTTCATGCTGTCTTGTTATCACCCATGAGTATTCTTTTTCAAGTGAAAGACAAATATGTTTAATAACTTACTGTAAGACTTCTGACATTTCATTTCTCATTTGACAGATTGTTTTGCTGCTTCGGCTTGTTCCTTTGCTTCCATTTAACATGCTGAATTACCTCCTGTCTGTCACTCCTGTTAGCATATGGGAGTACATGTTAGCTTCCTGGTTGGGAATGATGGTATCCCTCAACCCTTGTATTATCCATTAATTTAGTAAAAAGGCCATTACTTCCTTCCATCACTCCTGCTACTTAATTCTGTCCAAACAACAGGGCTGTTCCAAAAATTTTATGCCAAATATCCATGCCAATCCTTTATAATTTGTTGAATGATCTGGTGATCTGGTCTACATGCAAAGCTGATGTATCTGGTTTCCTTCCATTTCAGCCGATTACTCTTGCCCTAGTATATGTTGGAACAACTCTCAAGGATCTTTCTGATGTAACACATGGATGGGATGAGGTTTCAACAACTCATTGGGTAAGAACCATCTTGTTATTTTTCCCTTTTCAGGTGTAATTAGACATGAGTAACTTTTTATTGAGTTCTTACAGAAATAATCTGATCAAGTCAATAGGCTTACAAATGTTTGATATGGTGAAGTCCACCATATGCATAACACATCAGACTAAAGTTGACAACTTATTTAGGCACATCCCATTTTTTAATTAACTGGTAGATCCTTGGTGAAAAGACAAAAACATAGCACTGGTTATAATGATTAAAAATAATACATGGGAGTATTCTTGTCATTGGAAAGTATGCTTGTAACTAATGGTTAAGGGCATCAAAGATCGGTACTCCCCAAATTATCCCGTCAAATAAATCTTAGATAGTTTCTTGGTAAGCCTATTTTAGTCTCTGGGTTTAATGGAATCATGACATCACATTATGGTCAAATAGATCTATATTAGTTTCCATTAGACTGTTAGAGTAGATACTTCTAGGCGTTCTGATATCCTTTATTCTCCATTATGGTCTATATTAGTTTCTGATTCTTTTTTCTCCATTCTGGTGGGTGCAGGTTGTTATTGCATTGGGTCTTGTGATATCTGGTAAGTTAAAATTATCATAGATCCGATTCTTTTCCCTCCTAATGGATTATGCTTTATTTAGATAGTCACTCATACTGCTACTTTACTCAGCCGAAGTTTTCTTGGGAGCTATCTTTGCTTGTAGTTGGGGTTGTTGTAGCAATAAAATGCAACTAATTCTGAAAGGAGGGTGAGAAGGGATTTTAAGAAACATTCATTTCATAAAAGAAATCCGATTAATTGCACATTTGTTAAACCTCTTTGTTTTGAAAAGGGCAAATCTCTTAAAGTACCCCTAAGGGCTAAGGTTTAGGAAATTGACTAACTCTATCCTTACCTTACCGTTTACATAATTGTCTTAAAAGGGTTGGGTTAGGTTGAATCAGAAGTATCTGAAGAAATAGTTGGTTAGCCATGAGTGTGGGGTTCCATACCCACACTCAGGCTCTAGTGTGTGTGGTTTCATACCCACACCTACTTGTTTCTAATTTCTTTTATTAGTAGTTTCTAATTTCTTTTAAGTTGGGCCGGCTGGCCTTATTGTTTCTAATTTTTGTTTATTTCCTATTCTTGTAAGGAACCTAAAGCTATAAATAAAGAAGTGTATGGGGCGGCAGATTATTAACTACCGAACCCCTTCTTTCTTTTCTCCTCTCTTCACTCTTCTCTCTCTCTCTCTCTCTCTCTCTCTTCTCTTCGAACCTGTATTACTTCTCTAATACAGTAAACAGTTYTTCTTCTTCTTTCAAGTTGGTATCAGAGCCTTTGATCTAGGGTTTCTCATGTGGATTTAATTCAGCCGACCACATGAGAATTGTTTAGGGTTGAAAGTTAAGAAAGATCCTTACTTTGGCTGATTCTTGGAGGTTGCAAGAAGGCTTTAGTAGTTGTCTTAATTCCTGCTTGTAATCAGGAGGAATCAAGCAGGAATTAAGTGATCAAGATCAATTCTTGATCAAGAGTGGAGGTGCCGATCAGCTTTTTCTTGGTTCTTTGATCAAGATTCAAGGTACTGACAGTAATCGATTGATCAAGTTTGAAGACCGAAGGTAGCAATCAGTTTTCTGGGCATTTTCCTTCATAAAGTAAGTACCTTTTCTTGAGATTGATACTCAAAAGGACTTTGTTATTCATTCAGAGAGAATCTCAGGACTGATATCAATCCTAGGACAGTAGTTGACTGTTATCTAACTGCAAAATCATTGTCCTAGGTCGGTTGTTATCAGCCTTGAAATACAGTTTTTTCTTGTCACAGTAGTTTAAAAGCCTCTTCTTAACTTAGAATGGAGTACAAGAACCAAGGGGAATGTGCTTTTGGGACTGGTGGTTCAGGTAACATGACTGAAAACACGTTTCAGATTACAACTGTTAAGTTTTATGGATCAAACTACTTGGAATGGGCTCAATCAGCCATGATGGCTATTGGGGGTAGAGGAAAATTGAACTTCTTGCTAAGGGATGTGAAGGAACCGCCCAAGGAGGACCCTACTTATGCTAGGTGGGTCCAAGAGAATTTTTTGGTGATGACATGGCTGTGCAACTCTATGTAGCCACACATCAGTTGAAACTACTTATGGGCCAAAACAACTAAGGAAATATGGGATGTTATGAAGGAAACCTACTCTCAGCCACTTAATGTTGCTAGGGCATATGAGTTAAAATGTGAGGTTAAAAATTTGAGGCAAGGACAGAAGCAGGTCTTTGTTTACTTTTCAACCTTAAAATCCCTGTGGCATGAAATTGACCATCTTAAAACAATTGAGTGGGAGAGTCAGAAAGATGCACAAACATATAGAAAGTAGGTTGGAACTAACAGAGTTTTTGAGTTCCTAGTTGGTCTGAATTCTGAATATGACATTGTGAGACAACAGTTGTTGACAAGAGATAGTATGACTTTATCACAAGCCTATTCTCTAGTGCATAGTGAAAAAACTAGGAGAAAGGTTATGTTGTAGCAACAACCCTCCGAATCAGCCTTGGCAGTAGTTAGACCTAAATTTGGGGGGGGGGGGGATAAGGAGAAGAAGGAAGCTAAGAAGGACTTAGTATGTGAACACTGCAAGAAACCTAAACATACTAAGGACACCTGTTGGAAGTTGCACCCTCATCTAGTTTCAGTAAAGCTCAGAAATAAGAAAGGGAATGCTAATATGGCTGTCAACATTGATAGTACAACTTCATCAGGCACAAGAGGCACTCCTCTAGATACACTAGCTACAATCCGAGCTGCTCTGACTCGGCTAGAAAATGAATTTAGTAATTCAGCTCAGCCTACATCAGCTCAACAGCCTACTTCAACCCTTGCTCATACAGGTACAAGAGCTACTGCTTGCCATGCTTCTGTCCCAAGTAATACTAGACCTTCTTGGGTAATAGATTCAGGTGCTTCAGATCATATGACTAGCATATCTACTCTATTTAGCCCCTATTGTTTATCGTCTGGGAGAGACAAAGTTTCTATTGCTGATGACTCTCTTGTACCAATTTCTGGCAAGGGAGACATAAGATTATCAGATACCATCACCCTATCCTCAGTTTTGCATGTTCCCAAGCTTAGTGCTAACTTACTTTTAGTTAGTAGTATTACTAAAAATCAAAATTGTTCGGTAACCTTTTTCTCCGATCAATGTATTTTTCAGGATCTAGAAACGAAGAAGGTGATTGGGATTGGCCGTGAGATGAATGGAGTCTACCTGCTGGAACATTCCCAAAGGGAGCAGAGTGAAGCAGGAAAATTGTTTGTTTCTCAGTCTTGTAGTAAGATTATCCTTTGGCACAACCACTTAGGTCATTTATCTTTTGGGTCTTTAAAGAGTCTTTTTCCAAACTTGTTTGAGTCAGTAGAAGTGTCTGGGTTAAAATGTGAAAGTTGTGAACTTGCAAAACATAGTAGATCATCTTATCTTTTAAGTAATAAAAGAAGCAACCTCCCTTTTGAGATTGTGCATACCGATGTTTGGGGGCCCTACCATACTTTCACCATGGGGGGTACAAACATTTCTTATTATTTGTTGATGATTATACCCGCTTTTCATGGGTCTATCTTATGCACTCTTGAGATGAGGTCCCCTCTTTGACCCAAGCTTTCCATCAGATGATCCTAACTCAATTTGAAACCAAGATCAAGATTCTTAGATTTGATAATGCCAATGAATACTTTGCAAAACCCTTGGCATCCTATCTCCTTGATCATGGGATCATTCATCAGAGCACCTGTCCTCACACACCTCAACAAAACGGGGTTGCTGATAGAAAAAACAGGCATATTTTAGAGGTAGCCAAAAGCATCATGCTCAACTCCAATGTTCCCATATGCTTCTAGGGAGATGCAATCTGTATAGCCATATACCTCATTAACAGGGTTCCTTCACGGGTCCTAAACATGCAAACCCGTTCAATCTTCCATACCCAAATAAGGACCTATTCACTATTCCCCTCAAAACTTTTGGGTGTACTTTTAGTTCAAATCCTTAGACCTCATCGCTCCAAGTTTGATCCCAAAGCCACCAAGTGTATTTTCCTTGGGTATGCACAAAATCAAAAGGGATATTGTTGTTATGAGCCAGTTTCAGGGAAGCGCTTTGTGTCCATGGATGTCACATTCTTTGAGGATATGCCCTACTATCATAAGGCTTCTCCTTAGGGGGAGAATAGTGAGGAAGGGATTTCAGTTTCAGCTCCAAGAGTTCCTTTACCTGTCCCGGTTACTGGGGGGGAGTTGCGAAGAAGGTTGTCAAAAATGCAGGGAGTTAAGAGTGTATCACAGAAAGTGGTGGAGGCAGGTTGATTCTCGTACTCAACAGCAATCCAGGCCAGTTCCAACATCTTCTACAGCTCTAAATCCAGACACTACTACAAATCCCATTATTGATCCCACTGTTACAGATGTTTAGCCTTCACCGACAGATGACCTTGATCTTCCAATTGCTATTCGTAAAGGGAAGCACCGTTGCACCTCATCCACTGCCCATTGCATCTCAAAGTTCATTTCCTATAATTGTCTCTTAGAATCCTACATATCTTACTTGGCATCTATTTCTGCTATTCCTATACTTAGAAAAGTGCAAGAAACTCTTTTGATACCTGAATGGAAGGAAGCAATGCAAGTAGAGATGGATGCTCTTGTTAAGAACAACACATGGGAACTAGTTAACCAGCCTGAAGGGAAGAAACCTGTTGGATGCAGATGGGTGTTTAATGTGAAATATAATGCTGATGGTACTGTAGAGAGGTATAAGGCTAGATTGGTTGCAAAGAGATTCACACAAACTTATGGCATAGACTATATAGAAACCTTTGCACCTGCTACAAAAATGAACACTATCAGAGTTCTTCTATCCATTGCTGCAAACTTCTCATGGCCACTATTTCAGTTGGATGTTAAGAATGCCTTCCTCAACGGATACTTGCAAGAGGAAGTATACATGGAGTTACCCCCTGGTTTTTATAGTACAGAAGCAGGAAAGAAAGTTTGTCTTTTGAAGAAGGCCTTGTACGGGCTGAAACAATCCCCGAGAGCTTGGTTAGATAGGTTTACACTGGCTTTGGACAAATTCGAATACATACAGACTCAGTCAGATCACACTCTCTTCTTTAAGAAGACAGGTCATTCCCTGACTCTACTTGCAGTCTATGTAGATGACATTGTGATAACAGGATGTGACACTAGTGAAATTGAAACCCTTAAACAACACCTTCACAAGGAATTTGAAGTGAAAGACCTAGGAAAGTTACACTATTTCCTAAGAATTGAGGTAGCTCGATCTAAGCATGGCATTTTCATCTCCCAAAGGAAGTATGTTTTAGACTTATTGGAAGAAACTAGCAAGTTAGGAGTGAAACATGCTGATACTCCCATTGAGCCTAACCATAAGATAAGTGCAAAAAGTGGAGAATTCCTTGAGGACAGGGCAATGTACCAAAGGCTGGTTGGGAAACTTCTTTATCTCTGTCTAACTCGACCAGATATTTCTTATGCCATAAGTGTTGTCAGTCAATACATGCACTCCTAGGACCAACCA